GGGAAAGGCTGTGACCCTCTCTCAACGTTGGCTCCAGGAGAGGGTGTCACGTCCACTCAGGACACCCACTCAGCCTCAAAGGCCACTGGACCTTCCTAGAAACCCCCAGAGTTGGGGGGTGGGGGGTTCTTCCCTCGCGTGCTGCGTGTGTGCTCAGTCACTTCAGTCGTGTCCAACTCTTTGTGACCCCCGGACTGTAGCCCCCCAGGCTCCTCTATCCATGGGGTTCTCCAGGCAAGAGTACTGGAGCGGGTTGCTATGCCCTCCTCCAGGGCATCTTCCTGACCCGGGGATCGAACCCGCTTCTCTTTGGTCTCGTGCATTGGCAGGCGGGTTCTTTACTGCCAGGTCACCTCGACGGCTGAGCTCCTTCCTGTGTGCTTGTTCTGACCCTGGCTTACCCGGCAGCCCAGCTCCCACCACCCCGGCTCTCAGTCCTTGAGATTCCGCCCTTCCCCCATCTTTGCTCGTGCTGCATGCCTGGAAGCCTTCCCCAGCCCAGGCCTCCTGGGGACCCTTTCATCCCTGGAGCTTGGCAGAGGCACCAGGTCCTCATCCTGGGAAAGCACTCCCCACTGCGCATCTGGGTCAGGCTCTCTCAGAACCGGGCTCCTTCCTTCACACAGAGCCCCCCACCCCCCAACCCCTGGGAGCCACACCCCATGTGATGACCACCCCCACCCTGAACTCCATCTGGCAGGGATGTGCTTCTTGCTGACTGTGGCATCTGTAAATCCACACGAACGGATGGATGGATGGCACTTCCCATGGGAGCTCTGTGTATGCAGCTGCCTTCTCCAAGGGCCAGGGCCCTTCCAGGGGTGGGCAGAATGCAGACCACCCTGGGATAGGGGAGGCCACAGAGATTCCAGCAATAACTCAGTGGGCCCACAGTGGGCGTGTTGGCGGGGACACCACGAGGATGACAAACAGACTAACCTGTACACGGCATGAAGGAAAACACGCCTCAGTGACAGATGGCTGGCCAGGTGCATCCCTGCCCTTGGTCCCAGCCCGAGGGCAACCAGCCCAGGGTGCCCATCAGCCTTCACTTCATTTTCCTGGCTTCCTGGTGAGGGTCATGGAGGGGAGGCCCCTGGAAGATGAAATCCTGCTCTTCTTGAATTTCCTGTTGTTCAGCCTTTCCCATAGTGTCCAACTAGACAGTTTCCTGGGTGTTGGATTCTTGCATGTGCTTCTCAAATAGCCATTGACAGTGCTGCTACTGCTGTAAATGCTGGGCTTTCTCAGCATCAAATTACATTTCAGGAGCAGAGTGGATGCTGGTGGCTGTCTGTTCTCAAAATAAACAGGGCTTAGAAATGGAATCCAGTCTAAAGGGAGAGGCAGGCTCTCAGGGGCCAGGCCAGCTGGGGAAGGGGACCTAGGCTTCCAGTCATACAAGATGGTCAGAATGTCAAGGGCTGGCTGACCCCACACCTCCTGCCGGGCTCCCCACCCAGGGGCCGCCAGCCTGGCCTGCTCTCTGTTAGATTCCACCATCCACACTGCCATTTCCATCACCACCCACCCGGAGCCTTCACTCTAGGGGTTCCTAGGTAGATCTCCAGAGCCAGGAACCACAAGCCCATGAATATGTTTGTGCAGTGAATGACCTTGTGTGACTTTGGCCAGTGCCTTTGCTCCCCATCTCCTTGGATGGGTGACATGCCAGGATGTAAGATGAGCTGGGTTCATCCAGCCTCTGCGTGCACTGGCCCTGGTTCACCCTTTGCTGCTGCTCCCAAAGGCTGGTGCTCAGAGCACCTGCTGCTGGTCAGGTTGCAGACCCAGGGTCCCAGCTGCATCCCCAGGAGGCTTGCCAGGGTGGGCGTGACTCCAGAGTTCAGCTACACCCCACGCAGGCCCTCCACACCCTGGCATCCCAGAAGGGGCACACACATCACCCCCTACCCCTGGCCCCTGTCCTTGGATGGGCGGCCGAGTCCTCCCCGCAGGACCACCAGGCCTCCCACAGCCCACCACACCTCCAAGGGGACAGAGGCAGCGGGGGCTGTGACTGTGCATGTTTCATCAACTGGACCTAATTTCTCTCAGGAATCCTTCTGCCTTTTGTCAAGTTTGTTTAAAACTAATGGAAGCAATTAGCAGGCCTCAGAGATGTGTGGCTGATCTGGGTTGCGGGGAGCAAGCACCCGGGGGGTCCACATCCCAGCCATGGATGGAAGGAGGCACTGTCACCTCTCCAGGCAGGTTTCTCCAGTGGAGCCTGGAGGAGGTCATGACCCTGGTGCCTGTGACTCTGCACAGGTGTTTTCTTCCCACGAGGCTGGAGGACATTCTCGGACACTTGTGCTGGGTTCACAACACCCGGCCTGGCCCGAGAGGAGTCCATGGGCGGTGCAACGGCCTGGCAGCTTCTGACCCCTAAAAGAGAAGGACTTTACCTGCAGACAGGAGGTAGGTCCCAAAATGAAAAAGAACAAGAGGAGGGAAGTGGATTGAAGAGCAAGCAAAGAGAGAAAATTGGGCAGGATATACTGAGGGTAGTAAATGCCTCCGCTCGGCTAGGCCCCGGCTACAGCGCCAACTCTGAGCGTCCCAGCCGCCAATAAAGAGGCAACCGCCTTGAGCAACTCTCCAAGAAAATACAATGGGCTCCTGGGTGAAGCAGCAGCTCCTGCCCAAGTACCCAGATGTGTCTCAGGGGAGTCTGCCCCCTCCCCCACTCGCCAAAAGCTCACTTCCCATTTTTATGTCAAGATATAATGTTTGTAACCTTCTGAGCAGTATTTTGCATGTTGAGAAATCTAAACCCACATTTCTTAGGGTTTCAGGTGGGAGCTCACTTATTCAGAGCTAAAGTGCCATGAACGCCCCTGGTGTCATGAAGAACAAGCCTTCCTGATCTTTCCCTTTGACAGAGAGACAGTCACCCAGCAGTGCCCAGGAAGGCACTGTCCTGAACTCTCCTCCTTCTGAAAAGCCAGCTCCCCGACTCTGCGTGCACTTGGAACGGCCCCCAACTTCCCACAGACACGTCCAGCTCCCACTTCCTCACTGACACGGGCTCCGAGTCTCAGACAAGGTGGTGAAATGAGCCCTTGGGAGGAGCCAGTCAGCCAGCCTGCGGTGGCCCGAGCCGGAGGCCAGCTGTGTGTTGTCCCAAAGCCCCTGTTCCTCCTCAGGAGGGCCCTAGTCAGACCCCGAGGGTAAAATGGTCTGAAAGTCACCTGCATGGAGAGGCTGGCTTTATCATTGTAGACCGCATGTGATAGTGCCATCTTCAATGTCCTGAGGGTGTCCCATCCATGGAGGACGTCCAACCCCTGCAAGGTCCCTGCTCCTATGGACGGTGCCCCGACCTTCCTATTGTGGCAGCGCCTACGCAGGTGATTTTTTTCTCTGACATCTGTGTCCACACTTCCCTCAAATGCCGCCAAAGCTCTGCACTAATTAAAAAAAAATACAACACCATCACTTAATCCTGAAGAAATGCAAACTCCCCGCTGCTGTCCAGTCCCATTAGTGATATTAGAAATTTGCTTTCAGAGAACAAAGGGCTTATTTCTGTACTTTGTGCTAATCTCCAGCAATCACAGCATTGTCATTTTTATCTTTGTCAAAGACAATTGGGCGTCAGAAATGATTGATCCACTCAGTTTGTTGCTGACTTTAATTTGTATACCGTTGGGCGATGGTACAGTGAAAGCAGGCTAGTGTTCTCCTGTCACTTGGGAAACAATGTGACTATTCCCTCACCTGGGGGGCGTTTCCCTGGAGCCTCAACCCACTCGTCACCTTGGTTGCCCTCTTCCACCCTAGGACCTTGTCTGTGATCCCTGGAGTCTATGCACACACGGAGATGCCTGGCTCCATCACACTGAAGAGCATTTTTGTATTAAACCCACAAGTGGGAGGTGTCGGTGACTGGGGAGATGTCTGGAGTGAAGTATTTGAAACGAGGGAACGTTCATGTTATTTATTATTTCAAGGCAGCCAACAATAAAAGGTGAACCCGGGGGAAACATTTTATCAGAACTAACAGTGAGGAGCTTTTTTTAGTTTCTAGAATAAATAGTAATTAAATCATGTAAGCTGTGACAGTGAAATTGCTTAAAAAACCAATCCTCCCACCATAATTGCTGAGATACCCACATTTTTATAAATGCTAGGTAACTTTATCCGTTCCTTTCATCAGCAGAATGTGACACTGGCTGTGGGTGCCTCGTAATTTACCATGGCTTCAGGTGGCAGCTACAGAAGTACATGGATAAAAAGGCCGTGATGTGGTCCCAGTCAACAGGCAGCTTCCGCTATGTCTTCTCCTGCAAGGAGGGGGCAGGCAGGCACAAGTGGTCCAGCAATGGAGTCACGGGAGGTGCCTAATGGATGTTTGGTATCAGTAGACCATCCATCTTACACGCCTGCTTCCAGGTCATGAGAAAGCTCCAGCTACCCAAGGTCACTAGAGAATCCACTGAATCCTCTCCCCTCAACTCAGACTCCAGTTGAGCCCAGAGGTGGTAGTTAAGTGGGGGAGAAGGGGATGTGTTTGCAGAGATGAGAACAGCTATGCTTCAGAGAGAATGAAGCAAGTTCCTTGTGTTTTGTTGTTGTTCCTTTTTCTAAGGCCTCAGCTGATTCCCAGGAGGTAGAGATAAAAACCCCTGGATTTCCCTGGAGGCTCAGTGATAAAAGAATCCACCTACAAGGCAAGAGAGGCAGGTTCAATCCCTGGGTCGGGAGGATCCCTAGAAGAGGAAATGGCATCCCAGTCCAGTATTCTTGCTCAGAGAATCCCCTGGACAGAGGAGCCTGGAAGGCTACATACAGTCCATGGGGTCACGGAGTCAGACACAACTAAACACACAAACACAGAGATGAAACTCAGTACCTGAAGGTCAAGCAATCAGTTAAATAACCACTTTCTCAACCACATTAGAGACCCAGGTCCGCAGCTGAACATAAGCTCTGAGCAGGCGCCTGCCCGCCAGGCTTTCCCCACCCACCCTGACCTTATCCCCTTTCTCTTGCAGTCAAGTTTAGCAGCTGCCTGGGGACCAAGGGGACGCACTATGAGACCAACAGCATGGACTTCAAGGTCGGGGCCGACGGGACGGTCTTTGCCACCCGGGAGCTGCGCATCCCCTCCGAGCAGGTGGCCTTCACCGTGACTGCGTGGGACCACCAGACGGCTGAGCGCTGGGACGCCGCCGTGCGGCTGCTGGTGGCCCAGACCTCGTCCACGCACTCCGGACACAAGGTAAGGCATGACTGCACGCAGGGAGGGGCTCAGCGCATGTCCTTCCTCCTCAGGTGGCTGAGCGGAGCCTGGTTGGCAGAGGCAGACACCTGAGTGGGTGGCACCAGCCTTGGGGGTGACCCCTGACCTCCCACCTTCCCAGGCAGGGCTGCCCACAGGCCCCCATCAGCTTGATGCACAGTCATCACCACCCTGATTGTCAGTTCCTATGTGAACAAGGGCCACATGGCTTCATTTCTCACTGGGCACCTCTCCTGCCTAAGCTTGTAGCCCCCCAGCCTGGGGGCTCCTGAGGCCTAGAGGACCGAGAAGGAAGACAGAGGCCACATGGCTGGCCGTGCAAGGCAGGCAGGGTAGCTGGTGTGAGACTGATTCAGAGAGAGGGGAGGGGGAGCAGAGGGGGTCAGGGAGGGGGAGGAATGGGAGGAGGGAGAGGAGGGAGGGCACACTTCACATAAACACACACCAGCCCATGTCCCCGGGCTCCCAGACCTCCCTATGATTTCCCCTCTAACTTATCTACGTGGCTATGTTGATAGGATGGGAGGGGTGAATTCACCTTCCCCCAACCGTCCCCCATCCTGAAAGATCTCTCAGCCCCGTGTGCCCCAGGACTCCAGGCCCAGACCCCTCAGCCCCCAGAAATGCCCACGTTAGGCTTCCCAAGCCTGATGGGGACCAGCTCTGCTCACCTTGGCCCATGTTTCAGCAGCTGTGTTGGCCTCAGGCTGAGGGCTGCGAGGTCAGCAGAGAAATTGCAGCCCAGAGGACCCGAGTGATGGGTCCCACTGCACATCCATCTACATGAAGGTGGACTCGTAGGGAGGGAGAACCCTTGGGAGACCTTGTGGCCGTTGATGTTATGATATGCATGTGGCTCGCTAGAAAAGAAGCACACCAGTTAAAGCAGGACAGGCCGTCAGGGACGATATCCATCAGTATTCCCTCGGGACAGGCCCACAGGAAGTGGAGGGTTAGACCAGATGGACCAGATGCCTTTCTATAGATTTGTCTAGAAACTCACAGGACTAAAGTGCTCAGCAAACCCCAGTGGGACACAGTCTGCGTATTTGACCAAGGAGCCTTCTTTACAGGAAATCTTTCAAGGCAGGTGTTCTGAGGAACTCACTTTGGAAAACTGGGGCTGTGTTTCATTTTTGTCTTATTTTTAAGCCATATTGTTAAACCACAAGGAGGTGATTTAGGTTAGAAAATCAGTGACTCGGTGGCTAGCCTTATCCTGGAAGGTGGGCTGACACCTTAGCCAAGGACATCTTGAGTGCTCTCGGGGGTGTCCTGAACTAGGTATTGAAACACACTTCTAACAGGGGTGCCCCCCAGACCTTGAGTCTCACCTTGAGGATGTTGAAAATCCTGAGATGGATGTGGTTTTCCATCCCTTCCTGAGCGATCATGACCAGCCATGCCATGGTGGGCAACATGGCCTTCATGGGGGCCCCTCCCTGCCAGGGCCGAGCCAAGGGCAGCAGTGGAAGGCTTACATCTTGATTGCAATTGCAATGTGGAGAGGGTGCCTTGTGGGCAAGGAGCAGGGCTCTCTAAAGCCCATGGATGGCCTCAGATAAAAGGCACTAATTAAAAACATAATGACACCTTTTGTCAAGCATGTTAATGAAGTGATTTCTGAGGCAGTTAATCCCCTCATCTTCCAAGAAGGTGACTGCAATTAGACAATCCCCAGGATGCATGCACCTCCAATCCCGTGGCAGGTGGGGCCGAGAAGCTAGAAGCACCTGATCTGCAGATTCCACATCCCAGGTTAAGAGCATCCATGGGGTGACTATGGGGTCGCACCCTGAGCATGTGACACGTGACCATGTAGGCAGTGGGCACAGTCCCTGCCACCCACCTGATGCGGTCCTTCCCTGTTTATTTCCCATCACCTTCGTTGCTAAGGGCTCCGTGCTTCCTATCTTCCAACCCAAAGAGCCCTGCCCTGACTTTCTAGGACCCTCCCCTAAGTGTGTCCACATCGATCCTCACAACATCTCCAGAAGTGGGCACTGTCTCTGTCCCCACTTTACAGGTGGGGAAGCTGAGCTATATGACTGCAGCCTCCTGATGCATGGGAGAACTGATGTTCTGGAAAGGAGTAAATAAGGGACGTTCTAGGCACAGCTAAGCCCAGCATCATAACAGAGCCTGGCTGCCCTGGATTGTCTGTTTGGATCAAGCTCTTCCAGCTTACCGGCTGATATTCTGGGACAAGCATACAACCTCTCTGAGGCATATTGCTCTGGAAAATGGGACCACAACGCTGCCTACCTCCCACCCTAGGGTTGTTAAGAGGATTATGCGGGATGATGTCAGGTCAGGCAGGGTGCAGACTCTATGAGAGCATTGTCCCCAAAGAGGTGAAAAATAGTAGATCTTATTGCTGTCATTGGCATGGTCCCAGCCCTCTGAGTCCTTTGCTCATCTCGGCCACTGGGTCCTCACCAGGGTGGTGCCTGGGAGGACAGGGAGGAAGGTCAGTGTGGGACACTGGCTGAGGCACCCTTACAAAGACAGTGCCAACCTTTGCATATCACTCTGTGTAAACGGATTAAGGTGATCCAGATGGCTGGTGTCTCTAGTCACCTGCCAGAAGCAAATGTCAATCTTCTCCAGTGGAAGGTATCATGCCAGACCTCAAATTATATCTGTCTTCTTTTGCATACAATTTCTAGCACTCAACTGAAAATGACTGGAAGAACAAAATAAGATAACTAAAAATTAAGAGGAAAAGCAGATGATAATCAAAGACCCATGGGGTAGATTTACAATTATATTATTAATTGTAATCATTAAAAATAGATTAACTCAAAAAAAAAGATTAACTCTTGTACTTGGAAAAAAACAAACTGACAATATATTTTTCAAAATCTATCCATATGCAGCTTACAGGGCTTCCCTTATAGCTCAGTCAGTAAAGAATTTGCCTGCAATGCAGGAGACCTTGGTTCTATTCCTGGGTCAGGAAGATCCTCTGGAGAAGGAAATGGGAAACCACTCCAGTATTCTCGCCTGGAGAATTCCGTGGACAGAGGGGCGCCTGGCAGGCCACACTCCAAGGGGTCTACAGTCCATGGAGTCAGAAGAGTAGGACACGACTTAGCAACTAAACCGCCACCATGCAGCTTACAAAAGACACATCTGAAAAGTGTGAGGATACAGAAAATCTTGAAGTAAAAGCACAGGAGCAGGGAAATACCAGGCAAATAAACAAGCATGAAATTAACGGTAAATTTTAGCTAGCATCTGTGAGTGAACAATAGAACAAGCAGGCAAAATATCAGTAAGGAGATGGAAGATTAGGAGCACAGAATTAAGAAGTCTGACCTCGGTGAAATGTACATAAAGCACAGAAACCAACTGCTGCTAAATACAGATTATTTACAAGTATACTCAGAATATTTACAAAAATTAGCCAGACTTCAAGCAAACTTCAAAATGCTTTAGAATCAAAATGTAGTTTCTGTTCTTCTTACCATAGAGCAATTAAACTAGAAATCAGTAAGAAAGAAAATTACTGGAAAACCCCCATAGATTTGGAAGTTAAGTAAATGCCTTCTTATTAACCCTTGGGTAGAAATTAAATCACATGAAAATGGGAGAATATTTTGAACTGAGTAATAAAACTAGTTGGGATGTATTAATCACTGAAGTCATGCCAGATGGAAATGTTTAGCCTTAAATACATATATTAGAAGATAAAGAATGCAGAAAATCAGCAATTTTAACATTTATCTCAAGAAATTATAAAAATGGGAAATGAAATACAGAGCAGAAAGAAGGAAATAATAAAACAAAGAGGAGAATATAATGAAATAGAAAATAATAGAATCAACAAAGACAGAAGTTGGCTCAGTTTAGTAGTTTAACTACTAAACTGTAGACTAAGAAAAGACCTGAAAATAATTCCTATCTAGAATGACAGGAGAACTTCATGACCAATCACACAGACATTAGAAAGGTCACTTGAGGACATTATGTACAATTTATACTAATATAGTTGAAAACAAAGATGGAATAGGTAACATTCTAGAATATAAAATTTACCAAAATTAACATGAAAGGAACATCTGAACTGTTTTATTATTGTGAATAAAGTTTTAGCTCAGATTTTTATCACACAAAAAAATTACTGTTACCATGATGGATCCACTGGTAAGTTTTACCCAAACTATAAGGAGTTAAAACGCATCCTACAAGAGGGATGGCTTCCCCAACCAAATGGGGACCATGTTGAAACCAACAGGAACTTTTCCTAAAGCCAGCAAGGACCTTGAAAGAACAATGAGAGAGGGGATCGTTACATGCCTGTCCACTCAGAATAGATGGGAAAAAATCCTAAGCAAAATTTTAACACACATGAATCCACCTATGTTTACATAGGTTAAACAATGGCCACATTTGTCTGTTTCAAGAAATCAAGATTTGGTTTAACACTTAAACTTTAGTCCATGTAATGCAAAATAGAATAAACATCACATGATCATCTGAAGAGTGATTGTTAAATTTAACTTCCATTCAAGATAAAACTGTTCAGCAAATGAGGAAAAAAAACCACTCTTAATCTAACAAAGAGTATCAATAGCGAATATCTGAACTATAGTTGAAATACTCAAAGCCTTCCTTGACTTCAAAACTAGGACAAGGGCACTCTTACATCACACACCAAAGCTTCAAGCCAGTAAGTTTAGGCAAGAAAAAGAAATTGGAATAAATAGAACTAGCATTTTGTCTAGCTTATATAATTGTGAATGTAGAAAATCCAAAATAATCTGTGGCTAATTTATTCAAATTAATGAATGATGTTAGCAAGGATGCTAGATGTAAAAGCAATTGCATCTCTACAGACTGCAGCAGATAGTGAAGGACAAGGAAGGCTGGCATGCTGCAGTACATGGGGTCGAAAGAGTTGGACATGACAGAGCAATGGAACAACAACAGACCAGGAATAGTTAGAAAATAAAATCTGAACCAGATACCGATTA